GGGTAAAAAGAAGTGTGAACTCTTTGGCAGATAGTCTAGCTAGACAAGGGGTGAACAGACATTCTATTTTTTGGGCTGTCTTGTAATTTTTGTTCTTTTGATGYKTAATRGTTGTTCTTGGGAGCTAAGATTGTTTAGCCCCCTTGCCCTGTAATTTTCTCATATTTTTAATATCAATTCAATCCACAGTTATTGATAAAAAAAATGTAGTTTCTGTTTTTTGTTTTTCTATTTCCTGGTTCAAGAGCAGTGGTATTCATTGCTGGTGAGGGTTTCAGTGTTTCACGTTCTTATATGTCTTGCAGGTCTTTGTGTTGTTTTGAAAGCGCAATTAATGAGCTTATTTTGTATATCTGAGCTGCCTTGACCTTTTTTTTAGGGATGGGGTTGAATGATTTTTTTTCCTTCGTTCATGCTTTGTGTATACACAACCTGTTAACTTTTTTCTTATATTAACACATAGGAACAATTTCTAATCAGGAAAGGAAAAATTTTATGTTTTGTGTTTGAGCATTCAATCTAATTTATATGATCTTCTATTTATGTTATTTTTGTCTTTACCTTTTCATTTACATAAATGCAAAATCTAAAAATGTTCCCACAAGCTATGTCAATGGGTCTTATAAACACTTAAGTTAGAAATGATTATAAAAGTAGAGTAATAAAATATAAGATTATAAAGAAATTTACGTCATAACAAACAACCCTAAACAGAAATATCATGACAAAATAATAAGATTTACTAAAATCTTATGAAATTTAAACCTATGAAATTGATGTTATTATAGTTAATACTATTAAAATAAAATTATATATAAAATATTTAATGTTAATAACCTTTATTGGCCGCTGATGCAAAGCTGGATATGCACCAAACATACTGAGAGGGCTGAAGAGATTCATTCTTATATACACTGTATATCCCTGAATAATAGATGGAAATTTTTCTTGAACAATGAAAACTACTTGTTTTTCAGAGAATTGAAATAGAGTTGGTAGAAATTACTGGAGCTCCTCTTCCTCCTCTCACTAGATAAAGGGATTGCTGAGGACTAAGAATTGCCATTTTTTTCATTCTCTCTCTCTCTCTCTCTCTTTTGTTCTCTCCCCTTGGGGCAAGAACTAATTAGCTGTTGTAGATGATGTGAGTGCCTCCAAAATGGTTGGTATTCCACCCCGAAGTGTAAATGCAGCCTCACATTCTGCTATTCTCTTATTGTGTGGGCAACCAAGTATAGGCTAATAATTTTGCTTCCTTATAAGAGACTTTTTCTATTGATTCATGGTTTCTGCAGGTGGGGTTTATCTCGACACTTCCACTATGTGCCAGAAATTTTAGCTGCTTTCTTCTGGACTTTGCCTGCTCTTTTCAGTCATGTAAGTATCTCCAGCCATTGTAATACAGTACATACCGTATTAGTGGCTTTTGGATATTATCTTGCATAAGAAAAGGATAGTTATATTTATCAAAAAAATAAAGAAAAGGATAATTATATTTATCAAAAAAAAAGAAAAAGGCTAATTATCATTGAACTTGTACAGTGTCTGCCATACTTCTATGTTGTGTTTCTGACAATCCTGCTTTTTGACCGAGCAAAAAGAGATGATGACCGTTGTCGATCCAAGTAAGAACATACTCTCAAATTGACTTATTATTATTATTTTTTTACTTTAAATTTAACCTGTCTTCTTCTGAATGAAAATTTTTCCTCTAACTAATGTGGAGCTAAATAGTAGAATAAAACTGTTGAGAAGAAACAAGCCTTATTCGAGTGTCATTTTTATGATCTTTCTAATCCAATTGTACTGATGGTATACTTGCCTAAAAATCATAAAATTTGAATAGAAAACCTTTTTTTTTAGTCACCATATTAACAAATAATTAAAATTTTCCTTCCTGTTATCCCATTGAGAGACTTGGAAGGTAAGTGTCTCAGTTTGCCCCTTATTGCTAGTGATACACTATGAGAGTAGCACTTGCTCTATCAGTGCTACACTCAGACTTGGAAGGTAAATGCCAAACTCTGGCATGATCCATGCGTTGTTATGTTCTTCATATGTTAAAATTTCTTATGATTTTTGAATTTAATCTGGTTAAAATGTTGAACTGGGTATTGATAAATTTCTGTCAACAGGTATGGAAAATACTGGAAGTTATATTGCAACAAGGTTCCTTACAGAATAATACCTGGAATCTACTGAAGAGAATGTTGAAGGATTAAATACGGTTATCATGATCCTGCTATGCTTGTGTATGACTGATATTTTCTTCTATGCATCAATTGCTTGTAATTTTTGATATTGCTCCATTGAATAGTGTATGAATAGTCCTATCTGAGTATCAACCTATGTTTCATAACAACAAACAGACTATGGATATCATTTGGGTTGTTGTAGAATAGGTGAATACTGAATTTATAATTGTGTCGTGTCAACTTGCATCTTCCAAAATTTGCAGTGCTTTTTCCCCTTCTTTGGAGGAAGCAACTTCTCAACAAAATGTCTTTCTTAGTCATATGCATTGTATTTGAATTCCAACATAATGTACATTTAAGAGGGTGGAAAGGATAAGTTAATTCCAAGACTTGTTCTTTCTCCAAAAGCTAAGACGTTACACACAATTTCAGTCTCCCAACCCAAACATAGAGCATGGCGCAGTACCAAACCTACTACAGTTTTTGGCACACAATGGCTTAAAATGCATGGTCAAGCACTTGTGCACATCTTTCCACCCCTACACATCTCGTGAGTCTTTCCATCGAGCTGTAGTAGTTCAGAGTCTATTTGGGTGGGCTTCTGCGTTTATCGATCTATGTTGACTGAGTGGTTTGGGAGGTTCTACCAAAACTAGTTTCACCGGAAAGTCGATTTTGCAGCTCAACGAAGCTACTTTTTGGCTTTTTGTGGTTTTCACCAAACAGGCTTGCTGACTTTTTATGTGGGGCCTATCTTGCAATGTCGGAAGCTGTTGTCGCAAATCCCTCCCAATAGGCATTTAGCTGAGTTTGGAAGAAGTACAAATGCAAACATGTAGAGTGCAAAATTTTCAGTCGTTATCGTTAGATTTGTTCATCCCCATATACGCTATCATTGCCTTGTGAGTTCAGCCTCTGCGTCCAGGCTGTTCCATCCCTTGGGAATCCTTGGTAAGGGTTTACAACCATATTTGGTTTCATAAAGCAATTTTCTGCAGCTTGTACTTGGCTTAAAAAATGCCCCTAGGTTCTGTTTGTTTGCAATGCAAATTCGAACCAGATGTAAAATTTACACCTGGTTCGGATTTATATGCATTTGTATATGTTATTGTATCCTACCTGATGAAAAGTTTCAACTTTTTGTCTCATTTGCACTTATTAACAGTGCAAATTTTGTATCCTGAAATCTGATTTAAAGTTTCACCACGTTCATCCTATATCCTCTCTTGTTTGTGGTGGGGGCTTTCCATTTTACTCCTAAGGCTGCATTTGGATGCGATGTAAATCAAGAATCGATGTAAAATTTACATCAGTTCAGTTTTGCATGCATTTGGAAAGAGGGTTTAATTATTATCGGTGTAAAACTATACTTCGGTTCAGTTTTGCGTGCGTTTGGATGGGGTGTAGTTTTATGTCGATAATCGATGTAAAACCTCATCAGCTCTAAAGTTTTATATCAATAATCGATTTTATAGATGTAAAACTTTATACTCTTCCACCTATCATTATTTTCAAAAAAGCAACGGTTACTTTCTGGTTCAGTGTAAAATGTCATCAATGTATTTTTACACTGATTCCAAACGCAGCCTAAACAAACAATGTTACTTCCATTCTCTACGGATC